CAGCAATCAAAAATCTAGTTCTAAGAGTCTTACCATTTGACGTGATATAAGATATTTATATATATGACTGTAACTGACCACCTAAAAAGTAATAATTGAACAAATGTAAAGTAATATATGTAATAGTTAATAGTTATGTTTTTATCTTATTTTTAATAAAATTTCTTAATTACAAATGTATAATGCATTAAACGTATTTAACTGATAACTTTATGAGTACTTACAGCATTGATGCAATTAATAAAAAGTGTTGATAATATTATGTACACAATGTTGGGACTCGACCAGTTTGCTGTAACAGAGTAATGTTAAAAAAACGGTTCAAAATTGAATTGTAATAAAATCATCGGGCAATTTTTAATTACTTTGTAGCCAATTTTATCATTTATTTAAGAAGCAAATTATTTCTTAAAATATTCTTATCTTGTAACTTCATATGTGTTATGTATGTTCATAAATTTTTTGTATCCCATGGCTGAATATACATTATATACATTACCCATCACTGTTAATTACACGTAGTGGTAAAGAATTATTTTTAAATAAAAAAAAATTGCTTCTATGCAAATTTGTGTATCTATTGAAGAACCTATGCTAATATAAAGGTACTGTTTCCACTGGAAATATTAATAGCAATACATTTTGCTTTGTACATCTAAATACATTTACTGGGAATTCATATAGAAATTAAGAGATGACCACTTCGCATTTTAAGGTTACTGCAGGAAAAATGGTTGGGGTGATAATAAAATTTATCAAATAAAATATATGATATAAATATGCTCTCGGGTACTTAATCTTTAAATTCTCTGAGGTTAAATATAGGTATTTTTTTGGAAAGGGGACTTTACCATTTATTTAAAATGCTGTGAATGGAATTCAACAGACAGTACGATAAAAAAGGAAGACGTTTAAAGATGTCTGCTGAAAAGCATATTCCCGAGAAGTACTACCAAAAGATATTAATCTAAAATTTTAGTAATGTAAATTAATTTTCCAGTCTTTTAGCTGGTACTGTATTTCTAGTAATGTAAATTAATTTTCCAGTCTTTTAGCTGGTACTGTATTTCTAAAAGCACTTGAAACAGAGATTCGTAAGAGATTAAAAATCCAGTTTCTTGCATTAAAATTATTATTCCAAAAATGTTCAAATTTTATAAAGAAGAATATAAGATTATATTTGTCCTGCTAAAACGTTTTTTGGGGAGGGGAGGTAACACTGTGTACATGTTAATATGTGTAATAATTTCTTTCTCATATTTACTGCTGAAACATAATTAGGATTCAATTATATATAATTTCTGAAAAATGACTTGAATTATGACAGATGGCAGCTTAAGAAAAATTATTCAAATTCCTGAGTATTTTTAACAAGGCTCTTAAATTAGTGTATATTCAGGATTAATAAGTTTAGGAGCATACAGTTTTCAATAGCTATTAAATGTACTATAGACGATGTTGAACTACATATGATTTGCATTCTGAAAATTTTGAAAATGTAAATTGAATAAAGTGTACCAGCAAATTAGAAAATATTTCTGTAGAAAATACATTTTGAGCCATAAAACAGACATTACTTTTACTGTTATAGATGATTATATAAGGGAAAAAAAAACATTGTCTCAATAATTGTGGTAATTTGCAAGTTGATACAGTTATTCAATGACCCCCTTTAATTGTTAAAATTCATAAGTGAAACCAGTTGTTTATTATTTGGAGTTTTTTTTTTTTTTGTATAAATCTGGAAATCAACTGTGCATACTTCTCAGGTATCTGTTAACAATATGTTAAGAAGAGGATTTCAGAACTTGGTCATTGAAATTTTTAATGACTTTTATTAAGCACACCTTTATAAAATGCACTCTTTTCTAAGTATTAATGCATTTTAATTGAGCACTCTTAACTTAATTTTTTTCATCATATATGTGGCATTTTTTTTCATAAATAAAAAAAAAATTGAAATTAGAATAATTAAAATTTCCTACAGTGCTACCAAAGATAATGTAAAGCGCTTAGAAATTAAAAATTTGAAATTTAATTTGCGAAAAATGTACTCGAAATGTCAGTAAATTCAAAAATAGCATGTTCAATAATTTATTTGCATATTTATTTTTATGAAAATAATATTAATAATAGTTGATTTGGAAAAATGTTTTATCTGAATTGGTTTTGTCCCAATAATTTGGATAAATGAGATTCTACTTGAATATTTTATTAGATGTACTTCTTTAAAAAAAAAAAAAAAAAAAAAAAAAAAACGTTATTTTATGTTAAATTGAATTTTTTTTTTTTTTTTTTTTTAACAGTAAGATTTTTTAAAATTAATTATGCTTCAATGCAATTTTTCGTCATTTGCTTGCTTAAACTTATTTTCATTTACTTTATTTTATTACCTCTTTTATGCTTTGTAAGTTACATTTATATCATTTTAGTTCAAAATTATCTTACACTCAACTATTAGACTGATATTCAGCAACACGATTAATTTGGTTTGGATTTTTTATTTGCCAAGTAAATGATAAAAAGCTGAATATTGTAACCCAAGGAAAATTTTATGAATTTTGGAATTTCTAAGCAGCCAATAGCGTTGCAGAATTAGAGGATTTCGGTTGAAATGGAGACTTGTGGCGATGGCTCTCACTGTGAAGTGATGACGGTGGGATAGAGGCCGTTTATTATTGCTGTTTGTTGTAATACACTGCCAGTCATTTTTAATGTGTATATATCATAAATGTATAATCGTGGAAATTTCAGAGTTGACAGTATTTTATTCTTGCAGTTCGGATTTGTTTACATGTTCTCGCCAAATTTGTCGTACTTCGTGTGATCGTGTATTATCACTGTTATATAATAGAATTTTATTCTTAATTTAAGTGATAATTTTTTAGGTAAAATCCTAGTATACAGTGCAGCCTGGCGCGATTTGAAATTATCGCCAACACCAAAATGATCCAAAGAACGTCTATGTATAACTACAATATACTTGTGTATATACATAGTAACACACTATATACATAGTACATACATGTATACTATATATTCTTTGAATGACCCGTTTACTACTCATCGTATATGTCCCGTTTTTACTGCTCATCATAAAGTCGCCAAATCCCGTGTGCACCGGATACTAGGATTAAACCAATTCTTTAAAATCCGTTTGTATATGCGCGGCTTTTCTCCTAATTACTTATCTTTTAAACTGTTAATTGCATAATCAGTGACACATTTTAAACACCATAAAAGATGCATAAAAAAAGAAAAGCATAGCTTATGTAATAATGAGAATACTCATTAAATTTGTCTATTATTTTCATGTTATTAATGAAATACTTTTTGAATTATAAATACATTAGAAACTATACTTTTATGTAAATGCTACATATTGAAACATTGGAAATTTATGGATTTATTATTATGCATGCTGAAAAATAACATTTTTATATACATTCATTAATATAAATCTTATCATTACATTAATACAATAAATATTATATTAACAACTTCTAAACCATCGCATCTCTCTATCTGTATGTAAATATGACTTATTAGATGTGTATACATATATGTATGTATGAATACAAAAAAGAACATTGCCAAGAAGTATTTGAAGTTGCTTTTAATTCAGATAACAATTATGTAATTGGCAGCAAACTATAGTTATCAGTTCTTTGCAAATTATTATGGGTATGTAATAATCAGTTGAAAAAATAATGATGAGTATTTGAGTACTAAAGAGTGTACACATTTTGTTATTGGGTTAATTCATAAATTATATCATATGTATGATCTACGTAATAAAAACATGACTAATAAATAATAAGAAATGTAACAGCTGTGCATTTAACAATTTGATTACTTAAAACAGTGCACAACTGATTATCACCTTCATGTCTGTTTACATAATGAATTGCACTTCAATTAAGTGCACGGGCCTACTTGTGGCCAAAGCGTCGTTGAACACGGTAGTTCTGTCTCAGGTTAGAATGCTGCGAACGGGCTGGCTACATGAGTTTTTGGTTTGCCCCATGTAAGGTATACGAGTCAGTTTAAAAAATTTCTACAAAGGGATCCCTCCTGTGTTAAGGCTTTGCGGTAATCACATAAAACAAATTGAGCCTACCAGCGGCTGAGTGGTAAAGTCGCTGAACACTGGTAGTTCGGTCCGAGGTTTGAATCCCGCGAACGGGCTGGCTGCATGGGCGCTTTCGTGGTTTTCCCCATGTGTAACGTGTATACGAGCCAGTTTCCCTTAGAAAGTCCTCCACGAAGGCATTCCTTCCCTATGGCAGATAGCCCTAGTGTGCTTTGCTGTACTCTCAATAAACCAAACCATAAAACAAACTCATGATGTGAACACCTAATTTCTAGAGTTGGTATAATTAATGTGTTTTAGGTATATTACCGAGTGTTCTATGGAACAGTAAACAACTCGCACATGTTTGATTGCTCATATATTCATACGCTTTATTTGATCTTCATTTTGCCAAATAGTATCTGCTGGCTGTGAGGAGGTAAATATCAGCCATATAGATTTTTGTCATAAAAGGTCTTTTTTTTTTTTTTTTTTTTTTTTTGTCTGTTTGTTTGAATGGACAGAACAGTAATTATGAGCCATAAAGTTAGTCAGAAAATGCTTTCACCAGGTCACAAATTTTCCAGTGAGCCATCAAATTTTCATTGAAATGCAGACAACAGAAAGTACACATAAGCGATGTGTGATAAATAGACTTATCCAGCACATGTTTTTAAACTATTCTTAGTGTATACAGAATTTGGCTATTACTGATGTAATTGATTGCTATAACCAGAAGTGTGTTTATCTGTTACATGAAGTGCCAGAGTGGAGATCAAAGTGATTAACTTGATAGCAATCACCTTTCTATTATCTTCCATTACTAACAATAAAGTTTAAAACAAAAAGCGTGTAAGCGATACAAAACAACACGAAGAAGCGAATGTCACTTGAAAGGAAACGTCACTTTCGCCAATCTGAGCGACAACTGATTCTTGTTTGGCTTTCATTCTGTTTACCAAGTGAAGATGGTAACCCTATTTCGCCAAAGGCCGTTTCTCAGAACTGTTGCTGCAAACGTTTTGTTCCGGCAACAAAACAGCTAATGTGATAAGGCTTTAAAATGCAAAGGGAACACACTTGCGTATTCATAGATTTTCTCCTGATTGCAGAAAGCATGAGTTGCTTGCAATCGGCCTTTGAATGAATATGTGTAGTACGCGTTCGTTGGGTTTCAGTGCCTGTGGAATGGTTAGAAAATGACTGAAGTATTTGACCAGAGATATTGCATCAAATTTTACTAAAAGCTTGGCGATACCCAAGCTACATGGCTCCATGTAAATTTTGGCCGTTTCTTAAGCTGAAAATGGAGCTAAAAAGAGACCCAATTTGAGTCAAGAGAAGCCATCATGCGGAAGGTGATAGTACAATTACTGACCATTCCAAAAACTGTATTCCAGATGTGTTTCCAACAATGGAGGGGGTGCTGGGAGAAAAATATCCATTACCAAGGAAACTATATTGAAAGGAATTAGTGTTTTGGATTTCCAAACCAAGAAACGTACTTTTGCCAACCAAAGGTTCAATAATTTTTTAACAGGAGCCCAGTATGTCACCTCTAGTGGCAAAAAAGATTAAAAATGCTATTCTTTGTCCACTGATCTTATCAATGCTATCACAATTAATATACTTGCCAAAACCATTTTTCAGCAATTGAATAATGTTGGCTTATATGCTTGAAAGCCTGTTGCATGCATTCCACTCCAATAACTGCATTATCAGAGACTATGTTCTTGTAAGACGAATAATTGTTGGTTTCAACAAGACCAGTCTATTTATTGTCTGTGATAAAATCTTCTTGAACGTAGACTGTTATTCTGGACAAAAGGCAATGTAGAAAGAACGAAGAAGTCATTATTCTCAGCAAGTGCCCAGAAAACTGATCTCTGTGTTCCAAGACTAATTGCTTGGGAATATAACATATTCAGTAGCAGAACTTCTCACATCTTTGACGGAGGTACAGTACACACTGAAACTCTCCTAGATCAAGTTTGTCTTTTCCAAAGTAAGTTGGTCAAGCCTTTCTGCTCATGAATGACAGTGCCAGCCCATGTAAGTCAGCTGAAGTCTTTGACACACCTAGAAAGAAGAAATAGCAGATAAGACCTAAATCCCATAAATCACACAAGGGCAAAATCTCTATTGTGCCAGAAGGCACTGCAGAGATATGTTACTGAAAGATTCCTCTTTGAATCATGTAAGAACTCACATTTGTCCTGACACACAAATGATACAGAAACCACAACTTGTACTCAACAATTTAGTCAACAGCATGGCAAAAATGTGAAATATGCATCAGTGTCTGAGGAAGTCACACTCCACACTGATGGATGTACAGATGAAATCCTGGAAAAACGCATTTTTCATAACTACCATTTTCCCTTAATCAGTGTTACCATATGGTGACATCTGTACAATTTGGCATAATGATGAAAATTCAGTACCTCTATATGCCATTTTGATAAGGATGTCTATCACTAGTTATGGTCAAAATATTCTTTAGTAATTACAAACAGCCTATACTTGCAGCCTTCAATGGGAAAGCCTTCTTAAACAGAAGCTTTCCCATTGAAGGCTGCAAGTATAGTAATGTCACAAATTGTTGGCTACCTTGATGGAATGTAAAACATAGCCCCTTTGGTCAAACAAAGCCTATCTGTATAACGCCATTCAGATGGCATTACAGTCAAAAGTCTTTAATCCGGACTCGTCGGGACTTCGGCGATTCCGGATTATCGATTTTCCGGATTATAGATATCATTTTAATCTGGTAAGGATGGCATGCAGAAATTATAAATTAAATATGAAACCGTAATTTATAAAATAATGAGCAATTATGATCTAAAGGGTATCAAAATTTACAAAAAAAGAAGCTTAATATTTATTTGTTACTTTAAACATTTTTCAACGTGCGCATGCGTAAAGCATACCTTACGCATAGCCGAAATAGAAAATGCAACCAGAAAACTATTTGATTTGTATTCGTGATATTTATAATGACGAGGAATTTGATTTAAATCATATCAAAGACGGAGTACATCGAAATTAATACTACATTTAGTAAGGAATTATAGCCGAATAAAAAAAAACATCTGCCCTGAAGATAACGATAGTGCTGACAGATCAACTTCCAGTTCATTGTGCGCCGTGGACGTCCCCCCCCTCCGCGCAGAGCAGCGTGAAATTAATAAACAGATTCGGAACGGTTAGATAAACAAAGGATATGCCTTTATCCATTTTTTGTAGCACTTCGTTTTTGTTTGATGGACATCGAAGCATACTTTCGTTTTCTAGATTCTTTGGAGCTCCAGCATCGGAAATCTATTTGATATAATCGAAAGTTCAAGCTTACTTTTATAAATTGCTCTACAGTCTGCAAAAATAATAAGCGGATCCAATTCGAAGATTAAGGAACAACGCAATCATCAACATAAGTGAAATAGATAATTAGATAATTTTAGCTTATACCGTCCGTTATACATTAAACGCGCACGCGAAAATGTCGCAGACGCATATGCGCAGTCGTAAATGTCTTGCGCGCACGCGTAAAACGCGCCGCATGCGCTGAAATATTTTAGCTTTGAGGTCCGGATTATGGGTGTCCGAATTAACGACTTTTGACTGTATTAAGTAAACGGAGTTTCATCCTTGGTCGTAAGAGGATGCGTTAGTGAACCACAGATTTGTTTTAGTATGTTAAATATCTGTATGTTAATTTGACTTTGATTTTTTTTTTTTTAGTTTTCATTATGCCTTTAAAATGTTGTGTGCTGTTATGCTAAGGAAATTATAATGGCGGCCCTAAAGTGTCAGTATACAGATTTCTTAAACAACTGTGTTTATCAAAGAAATTGTTAAAACTGATACAGGAAGAAAATTTTATGACTTCGAAGAAAAATTAAGCCTAATTTGAAATTTAAATTAAAATTAAAGTATTTGTTTCTGCATTTAAAAGTACGGATACATTAATATTCTGGAATTTCATTGCTAAAATATATATTATGTATAGTATTGCATACAGTAACCATGTATCACATAGTATAATTATGTATCTAATTTTATGACTGAAAATATTCATTTAATTATTTTTAAAATCACCACTCTTTGACTTTTTGATTAATTTTATAGCGTAAAACTTTTGAGTTCACACATACATAACAGAAAATGGAAATATTTAATTTAATATTTAATATATTTTCGAACTACAAGTTTTTATAAAGAATTGCAAAGAAAACAAACATGGACATGGGTTTTTAAAATTGTAATATCAAGTAACATTTTTACATAAAATAAGAAATAAATTAAGTTCCTAACATATGAAATTTAAAATATTAGTAAAATTCATGTTAGTAAGTCCTTTTCATCCCCCTCAACCCATGTGGGAGATAAAAAGATACATATGCTTGCTATTACCTGTTCTGTTAGAAATAAATAGCAAGACAACGAATGCTACATTTATTACTTTAAAATTAGTAATTATGTCTATGCTTACATTTGTGGGACTTAGGCCTGTGAATTACATTTGATGAGCAAGATTTCCAGCATGTTTCTGAATACTACGATGAAAAAAAGGATAAGAAAATAGAAGTTCCAATTAAAATAAGTGTGACTGAAAGTAAATGCTGTTCTCTCAGTTGTCGGTGTTTGCCCTAAATATCTGTCTTCAACATTCCTTAAGAATTACTGTAAAAAAAAAAAAAAAAAAAAAAAAAAAAAAAAAAAAAAAAGTGTTCAGACAAGATGTAACGAAAAGAAAAATTCAAACTTTTGATGACATAAAAGAGATTATTTCTGAAAACTTCATTTTTGTTCATTGCATAAAAATTGCAAGTGTATAACATACAGAAGCTAGTTGTAAAACTAAACTTAATTGAAAATTTGTTATTTAATGTTAATTTATAAGAAAGGTCTAGAATTTGAATGCAATAAAAGTGGTAAGAAATAAAAGCAATATACAAGAAAAGTAGTAAAAAGTATATTTTGAAAACGTTGTTAAACAACTTAGTAAAATGACAGCAAAGGACTTTTTTAAAATTTTTAATTGCATTACAGGACTAGAAAGGGATTTAGTGTTACGGGGATCCTTCCTAGTCCCAAAATGATATTGACATAATAAGGTATCTGATCATGACATAATACCTTACTATCCCACAGCACTTTTCCTGACTTAATTAGGCTCCACCACAACCGCTCGAATAACCAGGATTGAAAATCTTGCTAACAGATCATAAAAGATCAGAATTGCAATACAAGTTGTGTGCACATATGTATATAAAAGTAATTTATTTAATAGAAACTTTTGTGTTTATAAATTTGCCCGGTTCAAATATAAAAGCTTCAATCTTCCTTAAAAATATTTCCACATATCCTTCCTGTATATTTGTTACACAGTTAAGCGACGCAAGTGTTATTAGTACTGGGGAGAAGGTAATTTTAAGTTTTCTTCATTATTTATTTCACATCAACCAACACGTTTTTAATTGTAAACATACAATAGCATAAAAGATTAATAATTTATACTGTATTTTTGTGCATAAGAATATGTTTCAATATTATATCTGCAAGTGAATTAAAAATATATATTTTCTTGCTACTTTTCCGTTTTGCCGGCGCAGGCGATAAAGTCGCCAATAATGGTATAACCCGATGCCAAACGGAATATCCTCGCTGGTAACCTTTCACTCCTCATTTTTAAAACAACTTGCAGACATTTCATATCAGATTAACTGTTTCTTTCAATACTGGCATATACAATTACATAGAATTTTTACCAGCTAGTTCAATTTTATGTTCTAAGGCCATACGCAGGCGGTAAGTCAATAAGGATGCAATCACACTGCTCATCCGATGGCGAAAATACAGAAAAGGCAAAGTCTTTTTCAAAGCAAAATTTTTATATTACTTAGCTAACAAAATATCAAGTTAAGAAAGCATCCATATTTGTTCCTTTCAGTAAAGTGGCTTGCAAATAATAACATACTATAAATTGGTATAAATATATGTTATAACACATGTAAGTATTAGTTCACGAACATAACTGTTCAGCATGATGAATAAACCATTTATAAAATTATAACATTGTTTAATAAATTAGACTATATAAGTAAATAAATGCTAAAGGAAATAATTGCACATACATATTTCTCAATTTACTCTGTCATTTGGATATCATGCCCCTACCTCTTAATATAAATAATTATTGGAGGTGTTGGAATTTAAAATTTTTTGTTAATTTAGAAATAGATCTCCAAGTTACAGTTTATTCCCATTTTTTATTGTAATATATATCCTCACAATCCCATTGAAATTAATTTTTTCCATTTCATTTGAGACAATAATTCAAGTTATTTTTCAATGGTTCAAATTTAATGGCATCCATTTACATTTCACTGATGAACAAAAGTGGAAAATCTGAATTCAAGGTCTTGGAACATTATCAAAGGCAAAAGCTACTACAGTTATGAAAAGAACTTACACAGGAAGAAAATTTTGCCTTGAGATGCCTATTTTAAATAATAAATTACATTATAAATGATATATCATGTATATTCATGTTATTAATTTTATTTGGCAAACAATAGTACACCCTTAAATGTTAATGTGATGAAGAAGAAATAAGAGATATGTATCAGAACATATCTTTATTACACACATTTTTATTTAGATTTACACTTCCGTATGTTTATATAATAGTTTTTACTTCAATTCACTTTCATATTTGTTCTTAATTTATATCAACATCAATTTCTACATTTGACAAGAGTAATAAATTTCATAATCAATAAAAGAATAATTAATTACCAATAATTTTGTAATTAATTTTGACTTGTCGATTAAAGTATAAAAATAGTGCTTTTAGTATTTTAAATGACAGCATGAAATTCATGTGTATGTCTCTTCATTTCATATATACAATATAAGCAGTCATTTAATATTGGTTTTTATATAAATTAAATGCTAATAAAAATAATAAAATGCATAATTAACTATGAATCATTTGTATTTGTAAGATTAACTGTACATGACACCTAATATTAGACCATTAAATGACATTGAAAAATTTTAAACTTCAATCACATATGAACAAGTCTTGTGGTTATTTCATTCAGGAAACATATTTGTGTTCTACTACATATTTGATACAGTCTGATTATTAGCACCCCGCTGAAAAGTCACAACAATGTATTGAGGCAATGCAGGGTGTTATGGGTAAGTATTTAGGTGGCAATCTAGTAGAATCCACATATTATCTGATTCAGATGGCTTTGCATTTCTTTAGAAATTTCTGCCACTGATAATGCAAATTAAAATCTATCCTTTGGGAATTTCAGTGTTTTAACGTAACAGTGGACTGGATATTGTGGCTCAATTGTGTCATGGTATTTCTCCTTCTTATTTTAGGATTTTAGTGCCAAGTTTCTGTACTTTTCTATTTTTTCGAAATGGGACCACTCTGTACAGTGATCTCATTTCAACATTTCTCATTTAAACAACAATGAAAAAAAAAAAAAAAAAAAACAAGAAGTATGTATGTCTTGTAGATAAATAGGCAGCACTGGATGTACTGTTGAAAGAGATGTAAAGCTAGCCAAACAAATATTTCTCTCCGAAATCCTCAATAAGTTCTTGAATGTTTTCCAAAGTCACTAATGAGTCGGTGACATTATGTTGGGGGTGTGGAGATTAAGGATGTAGCACATATTTACTTAATTCTGCAGCCACACGTTTCTATACTCATTTATATGCAGTATTTTAAATATTAAAGGAAGATTATTTTTTCAGAAAAGGTTATTGCATAATAAAATATGGTATTTACAGTAAACAGGAAAGAAAATTCTTTTAATACTTTTGAAAAATTACACAAAATATTTAATTTTTTCTGTATGTCTTATTCAGCAAAGGAAATACTGATGCGGAGAGCCTGGTAAAAGATAATTCAAAAATATATCTGCAGATATGGTGATAACAATTTAGAGCTGGTACAGCAGTCCTGATATCTCGACATTCCACATAACTCGACAATATTTTAGGAACTTTTTAGAGTAATCTCTATTCCAAACAGAGCAAATATTACATACAGTACATATAATTAATTATTATTTATGCATATGTCTTTCCTTTTCTGTTCAAAGATTTTAGTGTTGTTTTTTAAAATTTTTTTCTGTTTACGCATTCTGCCATTAATTCTTGGAACTGCCTAACAAATTTCAAGATATGTTGTAATACTTGGCAATGCTGTTTGCTTATTTCAAGGTTATGAAGAAAGTCAGGTAGTGGCTGGCCGCTGGCTCACATTCATTTCTATTGTTGCAAAATGTTAGGAGACTTGTCCGAAGTTTTATGACTGCATCTTATTCTAAACTCAATTCACATCAGTTCAATGCGGGTATTGTTCCTCAGGGTGTATAAGTGTTACATCCACCTATATAAGTGTTACATATTTTTGGGAACTTTTGATATTTGATGAAGTGAAAATGTCATTCATAAACAAAAGAAACAAACTAACGTGACAATAGAAATGAAACTAGATACCTTAAAGAGACTGGACAAAGCGTAAACAAAATTACCATGGATTTAGGTATTGGATGGACTATTTTGATATTCTGAAAAAAGAAGAGGTCTGAAATTGAGTTTTGGTGTGCAAAAACAGCATGTACTGTTAGTCTGAAGGAAAGAAAAGCATGAAAGGTGGTGAATATGAAAAAATGAGCAAGGCACTTTATTTCTGATTCACGCAGCAAGAGGAATAGAGAACACCCAATTCAGGATCGATTTTACAAGAGAAAGCCCTAAAATTTTATCATTAATTTCAAGAAGGAGAGACTGGATTTAGTACTGTTGCTGGCTGGCTCAAAAGATGGGAAAAGCGATACGGAATTGGGCAAATAAATGCTAGTGGGGAAAAGCTATCTGCTAACATAGGAAATGCTGCAATTTTCAAGGATAATTTCCTCCAACTTACTTAAAAGGAGGGTATATCTAGAGATCAAGTTTATGAATGTGATGAGACCAGTCTGAATTTTCGAATGTTCCCTTTGAAAACGCTGGCATCCTGGGAAGAAAAAGCGGCACCTGGCTACAAAAGAAGCAAGGAGAGAGTCGCAGTCTTGGCATCCAACAATGCAACAGGCAGCCATAAGCTCAAACTAGCGCTTTTAGGCAAATGAAAAAAAGATCCTTGGGCATTTAAAACATAACAAAATCCACTAATAGGAGTGAAACCAACTATCTCCCTGTTCGGTGACAGAATCAGTTAAATGAATGGATGAATGGAGCAATTTTTTTTTAATAAAAAAATTCACCAAGAAAGATGATTCTCATTATAGACAATGCCTCATCCTATCCTGATGCAGAATAGTTATAAGACAAAGATATAAGAGCCATGTTTCTCCCTCCTAATGTAACTTCAGCGTGCCAGCCAAGGCATTTTTGGAGGCACTGAAGAAAAAAACACAAAAGTAAACTTTTATCTCTTGTCCTAGCCATGGAGGAAGGGTGTGATATGATAGAGAAACTGAAGAAAATAGACATGTTGCATGGATAGCTCATTCTTGCAGTGAAATCGAGCAGATAAGCCTCGTTCATTCCTGCAGTGTATTTATATACTCCAATAGCTAGGTCTGGTATGGCTAGAAAACTCCCTAAATTGAATCAGGAAACTTTTAGGGTTATTGAGCAGGTGA